ACACATGGGGTTGCCATGAACCTGAATCGACTCAACAGCAACTAGTTTTTTCATCAATAAAAAGGAACAAAAAATATATATATATGCATCAACCTGGATGAATCCCAAAACATTACGCTAAGTAAAAGATGCCAGATACAAAACATTATTTCTTATTGTGTGATTCAATATTTATGACATTTTAGAAAAGTCAAAATTATGGAGAGAGGAAACATTGTGTTTGCTTGGGATCCCAGAGGTGCTTTTGACTGGGCAGGACCATAAGGGAATATTTTGGGGATGATAAAATATTCTATATCCTGTTTTTGTTATGGCTATATACATGAGTCTGGGTGGCACAATGGTTAACAGCTCAGCTGCTAACTCAAAGGCCGACATTTTGAATCCACTAGCCACTCCTTGGAAACCCTATGAGACAGTTCTACTCTGTCCTGTAGGGTTGCCATGAGTTGGAACTGACTCGAAGGCACATAACAGCAACACCACAGTATATACATGACTATATCAGTTGTGAAAACTAGAAACGTTGTATATTTTAATATAGTGAATTTTATTAGATATAAATTATATACCCATAAAAAAATGAAGAGGAAAGAGGTAGGGATTGATATGGTAGGGCCCAATTCTAGTCTTAAAATTCAGACAAATGAGCTTGAACTTGGTATGATGAACAATACCAATACAAGATCTGTATATTTGTGTCATAAATCAATACTGTTCCTGAGGATTATAAAGAACTTGGATTGTTCAACCTGTGTTTTCTTTTTTCTTCTGGTTGTGAGAAGTCCTAGGAAATTCTTTAGGAAAAGGAGTTATAAAAATATCTTTATTCTACTTAATACAGTAAAAATCTGCTTTGTAATACTGAGGGATGGAAGCAGTCAGAGGTAGTAGGTTGCGAATGAGTTAATGGAGTCCTTTAAAGATGATGTAAATTGGCTAAATTTTATATCTGACACTCAAATCAGACAAGAGCAGAAGAAAATGAATTTGCAAATACAATAAACATCCTGTGGTCTAGTAGCCTGAAACAAAAATTAATATGGAAGATTTCATCCCTGTACATTACCCATAAGAGAAACTGCCTACTATAAGCTAATGGGGGTTCTGATCATGCCAGATCAGACATAAGCAAAACTTGCAGGTGTGCAGCTTCTCTCTTGAAAGAAGTTGTTAAACCATGAAGGGCATGTCAGAATCACTCTCATGCTTTTCGGAACACTAAAGCGTTCACCAGGAAGAGCAGCACGTGCATCTCATATCAGTTCAACCTAGTGCACAGTTTCATTAAATATTCAGCTTTATGAGGAACTCATTGTTTTACATATAGGATTTGATTCCCTTCGGGACTAAAGGGGTATGAAATCCTTGTTATACAGCACCGTTGGGGATTGGAGGGCTCTGGCTAATTCTTGTTGACACATAAGTGCTGTGTAAATGACACATGGATCAGCAGCTGTCAAGAAATTAGACTACATTCAATAGTGAATCTTTTAAAAATTTTATCCAAAAACCTAGTAAATGACTGGGAGAAATTATTTGCTGCATATATAATAGACACAGAGTTAAAATTCTTAATATAGCATGATTCAACTATGAGCAAATGCCAGGCACAAAGATATTCCCAGAACTGAAGAATATGTATAAAATGATATTCCACCTCACTGTTAATCTAGTAAATGCAAATTAAAATAAAAATTAAATGTTATTTTTAATCTGCAAAACTGAGCCAGAAGAGAAGTTGAGGTTGAAAATGATGAGTGTTAACCAATAGCGGGGAAACTGTGGGTGAAGATAAAAATTAGCACCCCCTTTGTGGAAGATATTTTGCCTGCATCTATCAAAATTTTAAAGTGCATTGGCTTGTATCCACCAATTCTTCTTTCACAAATTGTTTCTACATAAATATTGATTCATGTATGCAAATATATTTATTACAGTAATAATTTGAAAAAGGAAATTATTGAAAGCCATTTAAATATTCATTGATAGACAATTGGAAATTTAATTTATGCTACTCTCACACAACAGAATGCTTTCCTGCTTTGTAAAAATTAATTAATTGATCTACATGTAGGGTCAACTGAATGAGGCCCAGTGTATATTTTTAAGTGGAAAGACCAAAACATAGTCACATTTTCTAAATTTCAACTCTATGGTATTCTGCTGACTATTTTATAATGGTCATACTTCCTTTTATATTGTCTTAAAACAAAAAATACAAAAAGAAAAATAACTTGACATGGTTTGTGTAAAAGATTATTTTCTTGTTTTTCTCTTTATTCCTCCTTTCCTTTGTTACTTAGTCCCTTTCTCTCTCCTCTTTCCCTCTCTTCCTTCAAAGTTTATTGAACAGTTTCTATGAATCAGTTGTTGTCCTAGGTACTGAAGATATAAATATATCAAGTGGATAATTAGAAGCTATAAAAACAAATAATTACAATAGGTCATGATGGTGCCATAGTAGAGCTCTGCCCAAAGCTTGATACGAGCTCAGAGAAATGAGGGCTTGAATTCAACTGAGGAGAACAGGGAAGGGATCAGACAGAAGGCTACAAACATGTGAAAGGTAAGTAGAAGTTTTCAGAACAGATAATTAGACCAAGTGTTTCAAACAGAGGGAACCAGAATTTACTATCAAACAGTCAAGGCACCCTGATTCTATTTGAGTAGAGGAGAAAGAGAAAGAAAACAATTTTCTATAAAATCAGATGAATACTATCAGAGTTACCCAGAGTGTTAAAAATCTGACCACTGTTTGCATACACGTGAATTCTTTAAATTCTCAATTTCCCACTGTGAAAATCTTAAGAGTCTAGAATGTTTTCTTTTCCCTCGGGGTAATGGAGATGCCTCCAGTTATGTTTTGTTCTGTATCTATTTGTGAAAGTTTTCAAAATACTTTCAAAATTTACAAGGCATCACTAACCCACAGGTTGGCACTGCTCAGTAATGTGGCTGTCATATATTGAGTGCCTTAAATTCATGCTAGTCACAGTAACTGTATGATCCCATAAGAAAAAAGCAGATTTCTGTGAGGAAGATATTATTACTCCTACTTTCCAGATGAGAAAAGGAAGAGAGATGTTAAGTAATTTGTACAACGATCCCTCCACCATAGTTTTTTTTTTTTCCTTACGAATGAGGCAGTGTCTTTTTCTGATTGTGAAGACAGGGACCATGTCCAAGATGTTCAAAAGCACAAAGGACAAAAACAATTTTTATTGAATAAATTAATAAAGTGTCATAGCAACAATGACCGTTTCTTCAGTTAAGCCTAAATTTATGTTACAATGGTTCTAAACTCATTTCCCGTCAGATCTAAGTGCATTCTTTATGTTATAAATGAGTTTTATAGGCAAGGAGTGATATTAGTTTGAGAAATAAAAATGCTTCTTTTTAGTTTAAAAAAAGGGAAATATTAATTAGCCCCATTCTTCTCCATAACATTTTAAAATATCTCTTTTGGTATTTACCATATTCAACTTTAAATTATACTTACTTTCGTAATGAATGTTTCTTGTCAGCAAGCTCTGTTTAATTATCTAACTCCATAGTGCTTAGCATCATGCCTTACTTGATGTACAATAAGAATTTGTAGAATGAATTTATGGAAGATTAAATATCACTGAATTAAACAAATTAGACTTTCACACTAAATGTGTGTGAAGCAGGCTTTGAGGAGCTCAAAAATGTTTGTTGACTTTTGAAGAAAATTACGTTTTCATGTAATAAAAATAAACACAATAGTCATCTTGAATATTGAATTTTGTCTACCTCAAGGTGACATGGGAAAACCTAGAGGCAGTACAAGAACATAGGCAGAGAGTTGTCTCAAAGAAAGTGAAAAGAATTCGCAAGTGTCTGATGTCCAGAAAAAAAAAAAATGGGAAACTATACTGAGCAAATCTTTTCGTGTATGTTGTGTTTATTTATTTTGTATTTTAAAATACAAAAAACCATAGTTTCACATATTTTTAGGAGATGGAAGTCCCTCCTTTCAATCTTGTAAAGCTTGATGCATTTGCAAGATCTCTTGTGTGGCGAGGGAAGAGTTAATGTAGAAGGACAAAGAGGTAATGAATATATGAGGCAAGTTTTACCTTGCCAGATTTTGAGTCTAGCTGACAATCTGGGAACAGTAGCTATAGAAAGGGGCTGAAGAAATAGAATTCTGGATCTACTTGTACTTCTGCCCTGCCAGATGGGGCCCCTGCCTGGAGAAGGAAGGTGGGAGATGGACAGATAGTAAGACTGGCATTTTGAATGATGTGCCTGCAGGTCACTGGATCACAATCTGCTTAAGAATATGATGCCAGGAAGACGACATGGCCATTTGACATCCCAATAACTTCCTTGGTAACATACGCAATCACTTCACAAATCCAGCCCCAGTACAGTTGGCCCAAGTTGGAGGAATGGGTGGGGACTGTTGGCACTTCCAACAAGACAGGGGAGAATCTCAGAATTAAGCTGTTTCCTCAGCCAGCAAAGAGAGAGAGATGTATCAGAAGTTGCAGCCCTTCCCACGGTGGTCTAGATAGATTACCTATTAAAGAGCCCTAGCCCAACTACATAGTAGGATAATTCCAATTGCACAGATTGTGAGTTCATTATTTTACATCTGTCTCTATCTCACCAGAAAGGAAACTCCTTGAAGGCAGAAAATGATTTATTTTTGTCTCCCTTATACCGCTTAGCAAGATGCATAAGAAGGTACCTTTATTGTAGATATCATTTGGATAACACTGTATGTGTGAATAGACTTTACAAAGTATGATGTGCTATTTAAATGCCTTTGTTTGTTTGAAAGAAATGAAAGTAAAGGAAAAAAATTCAAGTTTTTTTTTAAATTCATGTAAACATTTTAGTAAATATAGATTGTCAAAATAAGTGATGCAGAACGTAAATTATAATTCTTAGCAAAAACTATTCAGTCTATCTATATGAATGAATAAAAATGACAAATTTTATTAGTGTAGGCCAATTGGTGCCCTCCTAAAAATATGGAAGGCTTTATAAATTTGTGTGTCATCTTTGCGCAGAGGCCATGCTAATCTTCTCTGTATCATTCCAATTTTAGCACATGTGCTGCCAAAGCAAGCACAAAATGCAGGTTTTCATTAAAAAAAATGAAAGAAAGAAATATCGGATATCAATGTCACATTCTAGGAAAAAAAAAAGAATTTTATACTCCATAAAGATTCTTAATGTCATCGTGTTTCTCTGAGGACTTACTTTTATCTTCGTTTTTTTAATAAAAAATGAATGAGTGTGCATTAGTGCACTTGAGTCTTCTTTGAATGCATCTAGAATACAAGTGCAATCATCAGACAATCATGAAAATGCGAAATGAAAAAGCTAATAATGCATTGTTATTATTATAGATGAATCCCAAGGCGTGGGGAGATTCACAGCACACTTCATAAGCATATGATTAAAAAAGTCACACCCGCCTTTGTGGAGATGCAAGTCCATGAGAGCAATTCAGGTCCCAAGGAGCAGAAATGCTGAAAGCGTCAGTGTACCAGGCAGGGCGGAGCACTGAAGCAGCACTTACGCTTACTTCTGTTGGAAAGCTTACAAGAAGCTGGAGCACATCTGAACATATCTAGAATTTAGTAACTTTCTAACTGGTACAAGGCAACTCCTATCAGGCAATGGAAATACTGGACATGCCCCTGCCCTCAGGCTGTTGTTAGGTGCTGTTGAGTCATTCTGACTGTGTTATCCTCACAGTCATTGCTATGTTTGAGCTCATTGTTGCAGCCACTGTGTCAATCCATCTCATGGAGTTTCTTCCTTTTTTTCTCATGATGCCTTCTCCAGGGACTGGTCCCTCCTGAAAACATGTCCAAAGTACGTGAGACAAAGCCTTGCCATCCTCACTTCTAAGGAGCATTCTGGCTGTACTTCATCCAAGACAGATTTGTTCGTTCTTCTGACAGTCCATGGTATATTCAATATTCGTTGCCATAATTCAAAGGCATCAATTCTTCTTCAGTCTTCCATAGTCATTGTCCAGCTTTCCCAGGCGTATGAGGTGATTGAAAATACCATGGCTTGGGGCAGATGCACCTTAGTCCTTAAAGTGGTGTATTTGCTTTTCAACACTTTAAAGAGATCTTTTGCAGCAGATTTGCCCAATGCGATACGTCATTTGATTTCTTGACTGCTGCTTCCATGGGTGTTGATTGTGGATCCAAGTCAAATTAAATTCTTGGTAACTTCAATATTTTCTCTCTTTATCATGATATTGCTTATTGGTCCAGTTCTAAGGATTTTTGTTTTCTGTATGTTGAGGTAAAATACATACTGAAGGCTGTACTCTCCACCCATCAAAATACTCACCCTCACAAGATAGTTAAGGAGAAAGGAGTAAGCCTCGGGGACCACACCAGAACTTGAGAGACAAGGAAGGAATTGGACTGCACTGGTAGCTTACAAGTAGGAGATGGAGTCAGCAGACAAGGCTCTAGAGGCTTCTCTGGACTATTGGTTACAAAGAAAAGGCAAAGGCCAAGACGCGAGGAATTTGGAAAGAACAAAGGATGGGAAAGACACATTGATAAAACAGGAAAAAGATACAAGGATATAATGAGTATTCCTCAGGGTCAGGCTTTGTTGGCATGGGTTAGAAATCTAGGAAATCAAGATCAAAAAGTTTTCCAGAATGAAACAAGGAAATTTTGATTTAGAGAAACGAAAAACAAAAACAAAACAGCAACAACAACAAAAACAACTGAAAGGGTTGAAAGAAAGACAGAGATAAAGGGAGACGAAGAGAACCACTTGGAAAGCACAGGAAAGCGGGGAAGGGATGGAGGAGGAGGAGGACACAAGCCATAGATGCTGTAAGCAAAGTATCTGAGATGTAAGTGAGGCTGAAGTGGACTCCTCCAGAAGCTGAGAAAGAAAGCTTCAGGACTCAGAAAAAAGGAATAGAATTTGCCAGGCCTTCACCATGGACTTAGAAGTAAGCGTGTGAATATATATATACAACACTAGTTATGATAATTTAAAAATAACTTTATAATAATAATAACTAGCATTTATTGAATTATGCCTACATGTCCGTCACTGCAGCAAATACTGTCCAAGAATTTTAGCTCATTTAATCCTCACCATAACCCTAGGAGATGGGTGCTATTCTTATTTCCATTTTATACGTGAATAAGCTAAGGGAGGTTAAGTAACTTCCCCATGATCACAGGTCTATTGAACCGGAATTTAGTTTTGGATTGTCAATCATCAACCTCAGCTACTTTATGGTATAAGGTAGCTTTTGACCTGAGATAGAACAGTGAAGGTTATCTAGAGTGTATGAAACATCCTTGCTGGATGAAAGAGTATGAAGAACTGGAGAAGTTTAAAACATTTGCAATAACTAATATCAAGCTTTCCTAAGAGAATCATTGTAACATATCCAAATTCAACTGATCTTCCCACCTCCATTATTACCACCTGGTCTAAGCCACCGTTGTCTTTCTCCTGGATTATTGCAATAGCTTCCTCCCTTACCCTCATATGCTCTACCTTATCTCAGCAGCCAGAGTAAATCTTTTAAAATGAAAATCAGATCATGTCACTCTTTCTCTAAAAGCCTTTTGTGATAGCATTCACAGTAGAAGCTCAAGCCCTTACAATGGTCGACAAGACCTACATCATATAGCCAGCTACCTGGCCTCACTACCAATCTCACTCCCCCTTGCTCACTATCCTGCAGCTACACTGATCTCCCTGGAATTCCCGGGCCTTTTTTACTTGTTGGTCCCTTTGCCAGGAATATTTTTCCCCAAGATATTCGTAAGACTTTTCCCACCACTTCCTTCAGGTTGCTTCTCAAGTGTTATAAGTGAGATCTTTCTTGATCACTCAAAATCAAATGGCACCGCCTCCCAGCACTCCTCTATCCCCCTGCCCCCTATATTATATTTCTCTAGAACACTTATCACTGTCTGACCTTCTAATTATTTGTTTGTTATGTGCTGCTAGTTCTGAGATGTAAGCTTCATGAGAGCTTTTTTGTTCTTTTCCCCCCACTGCTGTATCTCCAGTGCCTATAGCAATGCCTAACGTAGGTTCAACAAATATTTATTTAATGAATCGATGAAAAATGGGCTCCCCTTTAGTGTTGGCGTATCCTTGATGGTTTAATATGAATAATAAAGTCTAGCTAATTATGTTAGAGAAGGAAGCAGGACCTCTGGTGGGAAAAGCAGAGAAGAGGATTCTAAGTTAGGAAACCAAAGGACAGCAACAGATGGAACAGGTCGATAAGCAACAAAGAAGAAGCTAAAATCATTTTATTCCATTATGAGACGCTGGGAGTATAACTCTCAAAAACAATAAGCAACACTCTTTGGGGCCTGTTCCTTCTACTATTGATGTATGGAAGCCTAGGGACACACTTTCCGAGAAAATCCTTATAACCCATCACTGTCCCATCAATTGCAGTTCTTGAGTAGAGGGAAGTGATGAGCAACTTGAATGGCTCTGAATGAGAAGTCATCCAATTAGATTCCCAAGCACTCAGAAAAAGCTGATGGCCACAGCACAGGCACTTATATTAATGAATCTCATCATTTTCGGAGGGGGGGGGACACACAATTTAAAATTGCTGGATTGCTTCTGAGAATTTAGCCATTCATGTCAAATCTCCTTGAGTAAATCACATCAGCACGCACTGTCTGATGTAAGTTTTCACAAAAGTATATCTGTCTACTCAGAGGTGAATTTAAGGTCAACTCTCACAAGGTTAAATATGTCTACTGTTGAAGTCCAATTTAAAGCCATCAAAAATCACATTTTTTCAAGAATACCAGGTGTGCTTTTTATAGGTTTCATTTTACTAGAAGGCCCTGCTATTTTGGGTGAATTTCATTTTAGAGGTGTTGATTGTTTGCAGATGCTCAGGAAGAGACAACAGAAAAAGTTTTTGGAAATTCATAAGAAAGTTTTACAAAGTAGGAATCAAGAACTCAAAGCAACATAACTACACAGAGTTTAATAAAGTCAAGATCTGGCCTTGTATACTGTTTAAGAAAATGGAGTCTGTTTAAGGCAGACATACTTTAGTAATTAAGCTAAATTGTTTGCTTCAAACAGACTTCCAAGTAAAGTTTTGGCTTGAGATTTAAGCTTTAAAGATTATCTCAGGGCAATAGTTTTGGGCGTACACCATCTCGAAAGGTTAGATGAGAAGCTTAGGAGGCAGTGAGTTTATATCAAAGGTGGTGGAATAAGTTGAAAAAGGATAGTGAGAACAGTTAACACAACTTGGACAATGTAAACAATGCTACTGAATTGTACATGCTGAATTTGTTGAAATGGTGTATCATTTGCTGTGTACATTTTCACCAAAAAATACTACTACTACTACTAATAATAAATTTTTTTAAAAAATGAATTTTGGCTCAAAAGTTTGAGAGCCTATTGTGCCATGTCATCTTGGGGAAATGATCTACTCTCTCTAATCATCCATTTCGTCATCTGTGAAAATGAAAAGTGACTACCCACTTAAGGAAGCAGTTATGAGTAGTAAATCCATAAAGTATAGGCCTGACAACATTAAGCGCTCAGTTGATGATAATGCCCGTTACCTGTTCCTTCTCCTGCTGCACGTTCCCCCAGTCATGATCAAAATGATGGTAACTGGATTCAAACATCAAACATTTGACAGTCAACCACACAGTGAGACAAGACATTAGGCCTTTGCTTCCTAGTTTGGTTTTTTACTCACAGAAGAAGCCAGCTACTTTTAAGAATTGAGTGAACTCTTTTGATGTTAAAAAGATCTTGCTTCACAATCATGTTTGACAAAGTATGCCTTGGCCACACCGAACTCTTAAGAAAATTCTTTGCAAATCTGCTCCAACAATGACTCCTCTTCAGAAGCAAGCAGCCACAGACCACTTCTACGACAATTCAGTTTTTTTGTTTTGTTTTATTTTTAATCTGTTCATTGTATCTATTACACCCTTGAACACACACTATTTTCTTTAGTTTAAATAAAAGACGTGGTAAAACCATATCTACATGTTGCCTGGGGAAAAAAAAAAGATCCTGGAACCATTTAACAGCTTTTTTAATTTTATAAAACTTAAC